CAATCTTATTTACCTCAAAGCAGCTATAGAGCCCAGCCAAACCAGTCGGACTGAAATAGTTGTCATTTGTTAACCCTGACGTAAGCCCTCTAAAGACAAGGAAAACCTGGTTCACTATCACAGCTACAATCTAAAATTTAAAGTAAGATAATAAAAAAGGAAAACTGCCTCTTATTTATTCTTAAATGCACTTCAAATCATACCTGATGTTCTCGTTGCACTAATTTTCAACCCTTCTGAGGATACGGATTAGCTTCTCTTGTGGTTTGCAGGTGATTGTCTGAGCCACAAAGTAGGATGTGGGTTTTCCTCCATAGGCCGTTTGTGAAAAAGTGAAATAAGCAAAGATACAAAACTGTGGGTGGTGATGGGATTTATACCGCTTTTCACAGGAACCCCATTTTTTTTTTTGTTTTCAGTCCGTATTCAAATCGCTGTTGTTGTAGCCACTGATTCAGCTTAGTCTGGTTGTTTGTGCAGCCGCAAACGGTACCTGAATTCTGCAGGGCAATTTGTAAACTACTACAGTTGTTAAATGTAAACAAAACAAAAAAATTTGTTCTGGTAATACAAATGCTAATTACGTGGCCCAAGTTCTGCTGCCTCGCTTATCCAAAGCTTACTGCTACTTCTGGTGTTTCTGACAGGAAGTCCTCCTCATAATCATTTCTACAGTAGCACCCCAACAAATAACGTGGACAAAGTCAGCACAACACTTAATATAAAAACAATGTGTGCTCAACAAAGGTATAAAAAAATGCTCAAGTGTTCCTCACCATTCTGAAACTGGATTTCTACTTTCAGATACTGTCGAAGCAAATCCATCACAACTGCCTTCATGTGGCCTCTGATGCCACTGCGATACCTGGTAACAACAAAACATTGTGGGTTTGTGCTAAGGAGAAGCAAGCTAATATGTAGCTTGGTGAGGTACAATGCAGTGTTTGTAACTCACTTCTGCACGAGCTGAACAATGCTTTGTGTGTTCATAAAGAAGACTTCTCTCTCGGATTTCTTGTTAAGAGTAGCAGCATGGCTATCCAGGATGTTTGCAATCTGGAAACAAGGGAGATGAAAAAAAAAACTTTTAATCCTAGCAAACAGCAACGATTCACAAACATTTAATCTCAGAAACAGACAGGTTTGAAGAAAARGCCAGAACCTGGACAATAAATGCAAACATTGAATATTGCTTGAGATGTGTAGTCATGATGATAAAATGTGCCTTTAGTTGTTTAAATAAAATGTGCTGTAATTGTGTCAGAAGGAATAAACAAATAAAAGCAATAAGCGTAACAACATGTGATACATTCAGTTATTACATGCAGTTCAAACGCAACAAGACTGCACTGCAAATATTTAAAATAATCTCTAAAAAACACATTTCCTTTTAACATACTTTTATTWTTATATTACAAAACACATATTTTGCCATAAATAAACAAATAAACTTTGTCCTTTACCTGAGATCAAGTTTAGATAATGATGGACACTTGTCACAGGTTTTATTATAACTGAATTATACATGCCAGAAAAAATGTGTAAACATGGTAACAGTGTTGTGAAGTGTTGTTCGAGCACCTGCTGGCTGGGGAACTGGCAGAGCACAGACGTTATGTTGCTGGCATACTGAGCCATCTCCTTCTTGATGGATTTCTCTACAGCAGGGGGGATGCGGCCTGACACGCTTGTCATGATTTCCTGCAGCTCCAGGAGTGGCAAAGACGGATCACGCATGGTCTTCATGAGCCTTTCTACCCATTCTTTCAGCTGGGACAGACACACCAAAAGCACTTATTGGTCAGGAACGGTTTACATTTACATGTGCTAAAGATGCTGTATTCATGTGTTCATAGCGTCTTACCTTTGCACTGAAAAAAGGTTCAGGAAGGCAGTAACCATGCATTATGTGAACAAGATGATCCAGTGTGTTGTGGAAGACTCTGTGGAGCTTCTCACCTCTCAGAGCTACAGTCTGGACAGACGGCAGTGTCCCTGTGTACAGCTCTGCCTATGATTCAAACACAAATACTTAACATTTAGATCAAGAACTGTATGTATGCACTCATCAAAACTTGCATAGGTGGCATTTAAGGAGAGTTTTACTTCATTAAAGTCCATTTTAAGATTACTGATAAAAGGGAAGTTGGGATTTAATGCTGGTAAAGAAAATCTTCTATGGCTGATTCTTTCAATTAAGCAAGAACTACATTTTTGCTACTTTTCCTGTGCGATAGTGAAGCCATTTCCAATGCCAGCAAGGAAATCTCCATATCCAAAATGGTTTGTTTCCTTTTTCAAGAAACATCAAAACATTCTCAATAGAATACACTAAAAAGGATTTAGACAAATTTGAAAGGTTCTTTCTGATTATTAAGACAAATCAAGCCATATTTCTTGAGCCAATCATGAAATGGGATGATCTATGAATCATTATGTAGTTTGAAAAGCGAGGAAAATGTGCTGAATTTGTAGTTTGACCAAATATGACTCAATCTCTGATTTGATTGTAGGTTCAAATGTAACAAATATTTGGGTACACTGTATTAAGCTAGAGATAGAGTACCTGCTGTATTCTGCTTGGGTCGTCAAGTTGCAGTTTGGCTATGACGCACCCAGGCTCCAAAGCTGCTCCAGCTCGTTTCACATAGTGGATACAACCAGACTCTGCAGCTGTGAGGGTCATTACCATCTTCATCACCTGAAATTTACAGCCATAAACTTCACATCTAAATGTACTGACAAAATTAGATTTTTTATTTTTTTTATTTTTGGAGAAGAAATCCTTCACAGAAACATTAAACYTGCTGTACCTCTATTTCAGCGTAACACTGGCCAGCAAACACGTGCCCGCCATCCTCGACTGTGTACTGAATGAGTTTTCCTGCTGAAGGAGATCGCAGCAGCGAGGGATCATTCTCCTTTTCAAAAACACAAGTCTTGTTCCCAATTGTGATGCGATACCTTCAGGAAAAATATAATCAACAAAAGCAGACATTTCAGCTTTTGAAATATACTTAAAAATGGGATCCCATTAAACCTGCGTAAATATGATAATTAAAATATGTCAGGTTTACTTCATGCTCAAGCCTCTAATTAGAGTTAATTAGTCAGGTTAAACTCAGGGTCAGACACAATGTCTTGGACTTTTTTAAGCCAGATCTAAACTCTTCGGCTGTGATAAACAAAGAAATAAGAAAAAAAATTGCCACTTCTAACGCTTAGTTTAATCTTACCTATCCACTTCTTCCTTCATGTATGTAGTGTAGCTACTTCCATCATAGGATAATAAAAGACCTCCATCACTGAGTCGATGCACATCCACCTCCGCTACAGAGTTGTTCATGATGACAACGTATGAATTGGGAGACTGACGCGTCACTTTCAGGACGTACTTGATGCCCTCATATATCAGCTCCACGTCTACAGTGTTGAGTAGTGTGTGTGCAGGCAGCACCTGGCCCCTAGTCAAAGAGGCACAGTTTTATTTTTAGTCGTTTATGCATTTATTTCTTTTACAAAAATGCTTACCTTTCCAGAGAATGCAAAAAGTTGGACACACTGTTCCTTAGACTGACATCTGCGACGTGCAGAGCGCCACTCACAATCCCAAGCATGGTGTCAGGACGCTCGGCCTGCAAGTACAAATCTCGTAAAAAAATCATATCTGATCAAAACTTTGTACAAAATGTGTGTCTTCAAGATGCTAATGCTGTTATCACAGAACTGATCTAAAGCTTAGTTTCAGTGCTGCCATTGGAATGTGCCAAATATTTACTGACAGCACGGTTTATGTGAAGGGCATCGAGTGCACAGCTGCATACCTGCATCTTCTCAGAAATGAGCCGGTCCAGCCATCCGGTGTCGATGCTGTTCTGCTGGAAGCTTTCAGTCTCCAGGAGCTTTATGAGGTATTCCACTGTGGTCCTGAAGTCCCCTCTTATGGACAGCTCCTTAAGAGCAACTACCATGTTGCTAGAAAAGTAAAAAAAATAAATAAATAAAATAAAATAAAAGACTATAGACACTGTCTGGTGAGAATAATAAAATTAATTTTGCTTAAGCTTCGACTATGGCTCAAACTTGCTTTTACAATGTAAAAACAAACACGGTGCATTCAGTGTTACATTTATTTCTGTTCAAAGTTGATCATTTTAAACAGTCTTCTTAAGCACATTCCAAAAATAATCAATCAGCCTAAGGTTAGTCGGGTGACTCACAGTAGCCTGATTTGCGACATGCTTCGGGAGGAAATTGCCATTTTATTAGGAATTTGCTCTGGAGTCACTTACACATACTTATGAAATGAATAATGAGTATCGCAGTTTTGAATTCCTAATCACAAATGACAAAAAATACCTCAGTGATGAACAATGATAAAAGTTTTGGCTGTCAAGCCTTCATACAGACTCAATGTATCAGCAAGGGAAAACTGTTTATAAAAATATTTAGTTATTTCACTACATATTCAAGGGAAGTCTCCTATCTACTTGCTTTAAAAGGAAACCTTTTTTTGTTTAAGGGTAGGGGCAGTAGATTATCACATAGAAATTAATGATATGTGTACGACACAACTTTGTTTTYAAATTCCAAGTTGACTCACGAGATGGCTTCTTCACGATTCTCTCCCCAGGAGAAGCAGTGTCCAAACTGGGAATCGGCAAACTCGTGCAGCCCCCCTGCTGCTGCGACGCTGAAGTAACCCCACACGTTCTTGTTGCTGCGGAAATTCAGCTCCTGCACCGTCCCAGAGCTCGGCTTGAAACCCTGCGATCACACGGACACCGTGTTTATACAACCAGAAACSGCAGCTTCTGTGTGACCTTGTGCTGTAAATATTTGCTGGAAAACAAAAAAGAAGAATATCTCGTACCTCGTCAGGATTTTCGCTGGTGATGCGTGCAGCAATGACATGTCCCCGGGGACAGGGGGTGTTTGACAAACTCTCAAAGTCGATGAGACAGTCTCCCCAGGGCTGGACTCCGTAAAGCATCCTGATGTCTTTGATCCGATGGAGAGGAATACCCATGGCAATCTGATAACAAACGTGTAAAATTAATGTATTCAAACCAAATAAATAAGGAAAATAAATACTAACAATTTAAATATATTCGCAAAGAAAAAATAGGGTTTTATCTTGCATGGTGATCTTAACAGTTTTATTTTTCAGTTTAAAAGACAAAGACATTAAACTTTTAAACTGAGACAATGAGCTTTGTTACTGCTTTGAAAAAAAAGTCTCATTGACGGAGTGTGTCCCTCCCACACTAACACCCAATCAGCTCGACTCAGCTTTCCCAACCTGTCGGTTCTACTGTCTCTGACCTATTTACACACAATCAGAAACAGTACAGAACAACCCATGTGACCCAGTGCTGCTAAAACCCATGAATTTATCACAATGTCTTCTGCAGTTGGTTGTCAAGTAGGCAGGAGGCCCATCAGATCAGTGATTGTAGTGAATAATGCAAACTTTCTCAGCTGAAAGATGAGTATTGATGTGTACAAGTTGTTTACTATCTCTAAAAAATATAAAAGTCTAGGTGTGTGGAGGACTGACCTGCAGRTGAGCAGCAGGCAAGTTAACATCAGCCACCATTTCAGTGCAGGGGTGCTCCACCTGCAGACGGGGGTTGAGTTCCAGGAAGTAGAAGCTGCCATCCTGGCTGAAGAGGTACTCCACTGTGCCTGCACTGACATAACCCACCATCTTTGCCAGCTTCACGGCACACTGGGGAGAAAGACAGGCTCCGAAAATCAAATTGAATTGGATAAAACGTATCCGCCTTTTTCATAAATTGCACCGGCTGTACCTTTTCCATGTCCTCAAACACATCAGACGTAGCTATGGTGGCAGGAGCTTCCTCGATGATTTTCTGGTGACGCCGCTGCACAGAACAATCTCTGCCAAACAGGGAAATGGCATTTCCGTATTGATCAGCTAAAATCTGCACCTCCAGATGACGGGCATGTTTGGCTAACTGCATAACGAAAATAGGCGATCCGGGAACTTCGGTTTGGACCTAAATCACCACAGGAAAGTGAAATCATGCAATCAGAAAACACACAAAAACAATAGTTTTTTTGGTATTTACATTAGTTCCTACCTGTCTGAAGAGATTAGGGAAGTCATCGGCACAGTTGACTTTGCGGATTCCTTTGCCTCCACCTCCTTCTGAGGCCTTCACCATCACAGGGTAACCAATTTTCTCTGCGGCCTGAACAGCAGAACAGAGATTTCCAGAAAACACYCAAGTATTAGCAGCTTCCGTGCATATTCATTAGGGCTGCACAATATATAGAACATTTATCGTCATCGCGATAATATGCATATCACAACAACTGCATAAACTGCAATAAATGGTTGACTCAAAAATTTGCATTTATGCGTTTTGTCATTCAGATGGAAGCTTGAATGTATTTCGTCAAAAAAAAAAAAATCAAGCTGGAATGGAAATGATTATTTTTTATGTTGTTTTTTGGGCTTTAAACCCAGAGCAGAAAGTTATCAACCCTACATATAAATACGTATTTTTTCATTTATTGCAAGTCATATTGTCATCGCAATATTAAGCACTGTTATCGCACATCACAGGTTTTCCTAATGTCGTGCAGCCCTAATATTCACATGGCAATATTAATAGATATAATATATCAATAGATTCTGAGTTTACTTTGAGGCCATCRTCTACATCCTGGATACAGCCACAATCATACAGCTCAGGAGGAACATTGATGATCTTCTTCTTTTGATTGTCCTCAGTCCATTCTACCGTCAAGCCTTATTTTCAGAAATCAAAAACATCCAAAATCAAAAACAAGTAAAAGTGTGAAATAGATTTGACAAAGTTATGAATGTTGATTATTGATCTACCTGCTCCGCTCCACGGTAAAGTGGGAATACCAGCRGTTTGAGCAACAATAGAGGAGGCAATTTTGTCCCCAAGAGCCCACATAGCCTGACTTGGGGGACCTAAGAAGACAGTTACAAATAAAACTTTAGCTTTACTAAACTAATAAAGTTGAAGAATAAGAGAAGGTCAACAAAGTGACCATTTTACCTTACCCATGAAAGCTATTCCATGCTTTTGAAGGAGCTCTGGGAGTTTGGGATTCTCTGAGGCATGACCCCATCCAGCCCACACTGCCTTTAAAATATAAAAACAAGAATGCTCAGCTAATAGGTTAAAGATGTGTTACAGCTAAAACTTAAAAAAAGGAAAATCAAATACTGGTTGTACCTGAACAGGTATGCGCTTTGCAATGTCTAGAATGAGCTCCACATTGGCGTAGTTGTTGTTGTTAGTTCCTCCTGGCACAGGCACGTAATGATCTGCCATTTTGATGTATTCTATAAAAATACAAAAAAAAAACCACAACGTCCTCATGCGGAAAAATAACTGAGGCACGCATAGAACACAAAGATCGGTTTCTGCCAGAAAGAGACCTTGAAAGAGAGATATTCAGACAAATCTTGCTAAAAACCGACCTGCGTTGGCCTTCAGGTCTTCTGGGGTCACCATCACAACAAAGCGGATTGCCCTTTCATTGCGAAACATCTCGTAAGCCCAGCGGCGAATGGAGCGCATGCATTTAACTGCAGCTATGCCATTGTTGGCGATAAGAACCTGACGCAAGAAAATGTTTGAGTTATTAATTTTGATTTGATCTGATGATGTCACAACAATGTTACCGAGGTTGTTTTTCATAATAAGCCTTGATTCACAAGTACAGCAAGATTAGCTTTAGAAAGCTTTTTAGCGTAATTTCTGAGTGAGTAGCAAACAGTTAAATCTGTTACCTTTTCAATGACTTTATTCCCACCAAAGCGAGTGACAAACTCGGCAGGTGACGCCACAGTGAAGTCCCTCTGGAGATCAATTCGTCTGCGATCTCTGCCTTGTTTCACCAGGTGAAGCCCTGACATGCTGGGCCTATAAATAAATACAAAGAAGCCATATAATGACTCTTCATTAGATGTTCAGCTTTGGAAAGAAGCAGAGAAGTAGCTTGTTCAGCTGAAAAACCAACCCTAGTGATGGCTTTAGCAAAGGTTTCAGAGAACAACAGAAAAATGTTTTAAGTCTAGAAGATAAAAACTCATTGATATGACCTCATTACTGCAGTGGCACAGAATTAAACTACTAAATCTCTCACAATTCTTTTGTTGGTCAAGGTTACAGAAATGCACAGAAACCTCTATAAAACAAAAATAACGTCAAGCAAAATCTGACAAATACTGGGACAAACGCTGTTCACAAAACAAGCACAGATTTGCAAAGTTCTACTGATTCATTTCTGTTCAAGTCAGAGCTTTGGTGGGCAGTACATGAGGGAGGAGTGCAACCATCAGCTGGTGGGTGTGGAAGGGACTGAGCTTGTTTGTCTGGTTGGCTTCCATGGGCTGATACTGAACTGTTGCATCACTGCTGGGACCAACAGCATGATTTAGATGCTCCCATCCAGTATTTCTCGTTTTAAACCTAACCTGCTATCTTTAAAAACATGCAAGCTTTTTTTGGTTATTTCAAATGAAAGGAGATCTAGTTTTACAAAAGTGTTTTCTAGGAAAAAAACATCCAGCATGCATGTYGAACTTTTAAGGGAAACTCCCATCTGTGTGTATGACCAACTTAAAGATTCTCATGAAGCTTGTTAYAAAAGTCAAACACTGAAGATTAAGCTTTACAACTATCCAYCAGTGTTGAATATGCATTCCCGTCWGTTGACTAAAAAGGGTTCTGTGTGTGAGCATTTCACAGCTTACCCACACCAACATTCTGAGGTTTCTGCCTGCTCTCTTGGACTACCTCACAGACTGAGGACTCAGTGAAACCTTTCACTGATGCCCAACTAGGAAAACAGCATTTTTCACATGTACTGTAAAAAAGGAAGCCTATCCAGTGGAGAAAAAGGACACACTCTAAAAAGATACTCCCCTCGAATGAGTCATACATATCTTTAATTAAAACTATAATTTCCAGGAAAAGAAAAATCACATTTTATACTGTATAGAACATCTTCCACAAGCTGAAGATGTTTTAGACTAAACATAATCAAAACATGCACACAGATTTGGAGTCTAACCTTAGATTGTGGATAGGCCCATCGATGTGATCGAAACCCATGTCGCTGGTGCTGTCGGAGCTAACGGAAGACGGCGACAGCGAGCGGACATCCTTCTCCTCTGGCTGCATGTCGGCCTTCCCTTGGTTCTCATCCTCCGAGTTCTCCTCCGATATGGACCCCACGAGGAAGTGAGACTGCAGGGCTCCGGCGGCGGCGTTCTTCTGGGCAGCGCCGTCCTGCTGTGCCATGGCTGGGCGACACGAGCAGGCTGCGAACACTGACAGAGAAACAGACCCACACAAGTGGCAGCAGAGGTTATAAAAAGGAGGAGCAGAGTTCGTTAATCAGATCGCACATATCTCTCTGTCTGGAACATGATGCTGTTTGTCATATTGCAAAACTGGGTTGCATAAACTTTAGCTTTATTGATAATGCAAGTGACATTGCAACATTTAGGTCCATGAAGGCTCCAAGACATTTTGAACTTGCTTGGTAAGCAAATCCAGTTAAATATATATCAAATTAATCATTGCCATTCCTTTATTAGTAATGATCAGTCTAAAAATACCTGAGGCATTGTTTCAGACTTTAATATGTGCAGAGTCATAACAAATGATAACAGTTGGACTTTATTCATCTTTAAATCTAGAAATAAAATTTATGTTTTCATTTATAGATACTAGGGTTGGGCGATATTGGCAAAAAAAATTAATCACGATTAATTGTGGTATTTAGCCGATAACGATTAATTTGACGATTAATCCCCTGGAGTCCCTGGACACCCGCCCTGGTCACATGACCAATTTAGTGGGAAATATTTGCTCTTCATAAAAATCTGATCCAAATTGTCGAAATCACAGACTTCAGGCTATACATCAAATTTTAAATTGTGTTGATAGATAAATAAATTACAGAATTTTAAAAAAAAATGTTTGTCATATTTGAAGCGGAGAGGAGCATCGAGCAGACCAACCAGGGACATATTCAGTCAATCTGCCTGGTGGCATTAATCGTATTAATCGTCAAGTGCCAAAAAATAATCGATTAATGTTTTTTCTGACGATTAATTGCATACGATATGATTATGCCCAACCCTAATGGATACGATTTAAAACTGCCTTTAGTCTWTCTTTGAGTTATTGCATTTACATTTTTTGCATCCTAGTGTACTATTTGTTTTCTAATTGGAAAAAAAAAGTATTATATTTTACCCAGCTTTAACTTTTAAGGAAACAATAATAGCTAAATTGCTATACTTTACACTTATTTTCTCAACTTTTTAGTGCCCCAATACATTTTATTTTTAGTTTATATGTTGTATATGTTTTTTTTTTGTGTGTGTTTCCTCTGTTTTCAATATTTAAAACTTATTACTACTTTAAATGGTCCTGTATGCATGTTTTCTTTGCTTGTTGACTGTCTCTCTTTTATGTTTTGCCCCTCTGTTTTACGACAGTGGAAAGCTCTCTGTTGTATAAAAGGTGTTTTATAAATAAAGTTTGATTTGATTTTAGTCAGTGCACGTGCATGGCGATTTTACGTCCATAAGAGAGCGCACAGTATTTTGTATGCCAGCAAGGACTCTGTCTATATATGCTGAACTTCACTGTTTACTATAATTGCATTACAATATGCCCAACCCAGTGTGCCATTTTATATCAGCACGTGTAAAACAAAAGATGACACTAATTGCATACCTAGTTGTAATTGTTTACCTGCTAGAGGAATGGCAACCCTCTGAAAGGCACACCTTACCCATCGATAACTGCTTGCAGGACCAGAAAAACAAGCCAAACACAACCACCACACACAGCAGCGACATGTAGCCTAAACAAATCCCCCAACGCAGAAATAATATACATATATATATACATATAAAACTTTAGCTGACAGACTGTTTTCTATTAAACATTTTTGCCGTCTTGACGGCACCTGCCAAGGCTAGTTCTCCACCGCCCAGTGGCTAAAGATAAGCCGAGGCGAGGATGCTAATGCACGGCTAGCTAACCGGGTTGCAGATAATACCATTATAATGTTATAGTTAACGTAACCAGCAGCGCCATCTGAACTCAACACTGTATGTTTTTACTGTACTGCATCACCGGCAAAAATGCCCCCGAATGACAAAACCGGCCAGAGGCTAGATGTGTACTTACCGGAGGAGATGATAAACCTGCACGAAATCCTGAAAAAAGTTGACTTAAATAAATCAATGAATGGGCTGTCTGTGCATCCTCGGGTTCAACAATGATGAAATGAAGCGGGGAGGGAAAAAAAGGGGGGAGAAATCACATCATGATGAGGTCACAGAGCTCCGGCAGACGCAAAGTGGGGTGATGCGATGATTCGAAGCCAGGTTACTCCGGGACGATGACCTCCGACTGTGACTTCCGGTATAGAAATACGTCACATAGAAGCAACACTACACCAAGGCGCAGTCTGTAGTTTTTTTTTATTACTGATAGAATTAAAATAAAACTATATCACATGTAAGGTAATGAATCATTGTAATGTTGAAATTATGTAAGTTTGTCGCTTTCAACAAGTGGATAATCTTATCATGTACAAAATAAATCAACACGCATCTTTGCCCAATTCTCATTGCATTACAAACATGTTTTGTTTTTAGTATTTTATAAATATATATTTATATGTTTCAGTTCTTTTTGATTTACATATAGGTGAATGAATTATTATAGAGCATCTCTTTTAATTTTAGTAAACATCAACCAAAATAATAAGAAAACATGCTCCGTTTTCCAACTATGATGAAAATATTGTAATGTTTTTGTTTTGTTTTGTTTGTTTGTTTGTTTGTTTATTTGTTTGTTTGTTTTCTATAGCCTATTATAAAAACAATGGGCTTTTATTTGACTTCATCTGAATTCTCTCGATTAAATTAGATTAGAAATTAGTTTCATACCTGGGAATTTAGCTTCCTTCACTAAGCTTCTGTTTTGTGTAGATCTAGGAAGGCTTCTTTCGAGGAGGACCAATCAAATCCCGAGTCAGCCGGTGGGCGGAGTTTAAGTGCGCAGGACACACGTGTCTAAAACACCGGTGGTTATATTTACATGTGTTTGGAGCGAAACGCGTCTTTGCTTCTCTTTGCTGGGATGAAAAAAATATTTTTGATCAAACACACACGTTTAGCTTTTTATGTTTATATAAGTTTTTTTTTTGTTAATCGTCATTTTGCGCAACATTATTCAAGTGTGGTGTGTTTGTTTCTCTGTAACTATAAAATGTATTTGCAAGTTTTGACCACTAGATGATGACAGAGGCCTTTAGATGGCTCTCGTCAGATTCAGATTTTCTCTCTGCTTTGGTTAATAACTGTAATAATTTTATGAGGTAACATCATAAAGTGCTTTTTAATTTTTGTTTAGACCTCACAAAATACTTAAAAATGTTTACTGCTAACTCATTTCTCCAAATCTGTTTATATTAATAGATCCAAAATCTATATATCCTGCATTAGTGAGTGCATGAGATCATGTGGAGCTAACAAAACAGCAGAGATGAGACCCTGAGGTTCACAAAGAGGGCACAAGACTCTCCATAATATGAGATATTTTCTGTAAACACTCYACCAGACCATTTTTACTTAATTTTCCTTCCTTCACTCTATAAATACTCAAAATTTGTTTGATGGAGTGAGGGTTTTTGTGTTTCTCCAATCATCAAAGTTGCTAACCTATAGTGATATAATAATGCAAACTGTGTCAGAATATTAGATGCAGTTGCACAATTATTAATTCCCATGCTTTGGGACCACCTAATGTCTGATTGTCCCCACTACCCAAATGCTATAGTGTTCAAGTGGGTTTTTACAGTAAATCTTCTCTTCTGAAAGTGTGTAAACCCTGTCTCTTTATAGGCCAAACAGACTCAACATTTAAACTCAAATATGAAATGTTTACCGTTGATTAAAGTGACACCTTCATGTGGAATAAACCTAAACACTTTGTTGGTTAAGTCAAAATGGGTACGATTCGAGATTTATGTGATTGGGAATTGTAATAGCAGCTAAGACTAACATCTTATTAATGGTGGCCCAATCGTATTAAAATAATAAGCTACTCTCTTGTGAATAGACAATTGTTTAATTCCAACTTATAAAGTCTAACTGAACAGCTGAGCACCATATTTGATAAGCAGCACAAATCAATAATGCACTTATCAAGGCAGATGAGGGCAAAGGATGGTGTGTGTGTATTCTGACCACTGTTAACACTTGTCTAGAAAAAACTAATCTAATCCATGGAGCCATAAACTGCAGGATTTATAGGATCTGGAGTCTAGGTGATACCCCACGTCACCCTCTGAGGTCATGTTTCCATGAGGTAACAATGGTAGTAAGTACAGTATGTYCGTGTGTACTTGTMRATACCTGTTTTGTTAGCTTTTTAGYATTTTTTTCTGGTGCAATCAACTTGTCAGAACTAGTAGTTCTCCTTATTGGGACCAAAGCCAGGTCCTAATACAATGGGGGACATCGTGTGTCTGTGTGTGTACACAGCAGTTTGCATGTGAGCATTTAGTAAATCCATAGTAATGCCTGATTTAACAACTATTTGGAAGCATTCTGAAGTCCCAATGTACTTAAAAATTGTAATAAAAACTGATTAAGATGCTGTCGAAAACTAATTCATTCAAATTAAGACATTCAGTTTAAGGACTATTGTTTGTATTAAAATGCATTTGTGTGTCAAACCCTCACAGTGACAAAATAGTCATTTAATACAAAGCTCAGCTAAACACACTGACTCTGCCAAAAGTTCACAAGGAAGTCCACAAAAGAAAGATAGATTAATTAATATAACTTAACTTAAATGATTTGGCCTAACATCCAYACACTTTCTGATCTGGGTTGGAGAGCTGACTCTGACTCCTGAATCCTTTTAAACTCTTAAGAAATAAAAACAAGTTTGCACATTGATCTAATCAGTCTTAAACGGTCTGGATCTGCAAGAGGAGTCACACTATGTGCATGTTAACACAAATATGTTGTGTGTGTATATACACACTGCATGAGATTAAGTTTAACAATATTTTCAAGGTTTAACTAAATCAACTAAAATTAAGAAATTTATCCACTTAAGGAAATATTTGTTTAAAACTTGCATGAAAAGTGCATGCCTGCGACATGCATTCCTTCACTWTACATTTGATACAAATGGTTGGAATTAAAATAATAATGATTTTAATCTGATTTTATTGCCTTTAAATGACTGTATCTTAAATTTAAGGTTTAAATCACCATCAAATCAGTTTAGTTAAATTTTGAAATTGAATGATGTTTTAACTTCCAGGGAAACAAAATGTTCAAGCTGATTTTATCACATTCTGACAGATAAAAAAAGACACAACAAATCCAGGTTTTTATCATATTTATTTTAGATGTTTGTCGTGTGCAGCTTCATAAATTTACGGTTGTAATGCAGTTCATCAACAGAAACCCTGGCCAGGGGTGGAACAYTCCTCTGCATGGCCCTTCCTTCATAGCCGTGACTGTCAGATGTTAAAGTTAAGCCTGGGCCTCCAGGTTTGGACAGTTCAAGCTGTGAATGTGACCTACCAGGCAGGCAGCGGGCTACCAGGTTTTGACGGGAGGTGAAAGACGAAGGGGTCTGATATGGACTGAATCGCAACCAAGGTTGAGAGTTACTGTGATGATGGGTTCTGGTGTGAGATCGCATGTTGGAGCAGGTGGGAGGAGCTGAAGCCATTTCACCTGGTGGTGCTGTGAAGTGGTAAGGATATGACACCACCCCTCCGAAAGGTGACAGCAAGAATCCCTGTTTGAGAAAAATAAATTTGCTATTTAAGTTATTATAGTTTTCAAACTCACAAATTGAATAAAAAGAAGATAGGAGAAAACACTCAACTTTTTTTTAGATATATTTGTTGTTAGGTTTCGTCAATAAAATTGGGAAAGACTGTCTTTAAACTGTGAAGCACAACTTTGTGAGGCTTCACTGTATTATTTGATTTGATTTGATTTGATTTTAATTGATGGAATTGTGACTAGTCCACATCATTTTTCTGCAACAGAGTTTTGAAAATACTAAAGGAGTTCTCAAGAGGCCAAATTTCCACCATCTAAATCAGCATCAAATTTTCCTTGCAGGTAACTGCACCATGTTATTTAGTTGCTTTTGCTTGAGATAAGTGTTTACATTGTCACTATTTCTAAGTCAAACAATTATTGCAAACAAATGCACAGAGGCTGTATCTTGGTGTAGATCAGCTAGGACTCACAGTTCCTCTGGTCTAATTGTAAAACTACAAATAGTCTATAAAAAATGAGTATTTGTCAAAGTAAAGATAATGCACCAGACTTCTGTCAGACCATGTTGTTTGTGCAGCAACATGGACATGTTTAATAAAAAAAAGACAACAAAAGGTGCTTTTGGACCACAAGGTACCATCACAGACCTTATACCCATTTGAGCAAGTCTTTCACTCATGCAACTCATACCGTTTGTAATTACTTTTTACTGTATACATTTTTGTGATTTCTTCAGAGTTGCTCAAGAAGAATCATTGAGTGATATAAAGGGGTGATTTGTCCTGTCATAAATGTAGGTTCACTGGCCAAGCAAACTGACTATTGGTCTTATATTTGCACAACTGAAACACCAAGTTTCAATTTAACCAATGTTAAGAGCTACGTAGCTGATGTCTATTATGGCATACTCATGTTTAAATGTGGGAAGATCAAAATAGATTCATGTATCATGAGTCCTGGCCCCATAATGTCTGGCTGGTGGWAGTGTTCTTTCAAACTTGGCTTTTAAATTTAAAGCAAAAAGCCACAACAGCTTAGCTAAGGAGTTGTCTATTGCTGCTGTTGATGATGGTGACCCCACCATTGACTGAGTGTCGCACAATCACAGTGTTCCCACTAGCTCTTATAAAACTCAGAGTCCTGATAACTGTTTGGTTTGAAAGCACCAATAAACAACTGTTTCATGCAAAGGTAATGAGGTAAATATTTTTGTTTTACTATTGTTTAWCAAGGCAAATCCCATTGAGATCATAGATCTCTTTTTCAAGAGAGGCCTGGGCCTGAATTCAATCTATTGTACATGGTTTTAAGAAAACTAGAGTACCCAGCGAAAACTCAGACAAGCACAAAAACATGCAATATCCACACAGAAGGAGGGCCCTAACTGGGGATCAGACCCAGGACCTTGTTGCTGTGTGGCATTGGTGCTAAKCACTGAGCCGTTGTYTTGCCTTAATATAGTCTTTGCTCAAACTGAGCCAAATGTAAAGGAGCTCTTGCTTGGATCATGATCTGATTTATTGAWATCTTAAGAATTTCTTCTGGTTCCTATAAACGAAGTTAAATCAGATTTGTGATAATGTTAATAAGACACAACATATAACTATTCCCCACAACCCTACAAGTACTAAATATTTACGGTTTAAACTTTTTACAAAGCAAAAAAAAAAAAAAAAACCTATTAGGAAATAACAGCACATCAGTGAGAGTTTTTTTTTTCCTTCTCTAAACGAGAAAAAAGAACTTCATTAGTACACTTACTGGATTAAAAGTACTGAAATGTAATAAACAGACAACATAAGAGTGCRGTAAAGTAATATCATGCATTAAATGGTTTAGGTGAAATGTTTTTCAAAGTYCAATAAGGGAGGTTAAAGTTCCAAATTTTCAGTCTTACAAAATCATTAACTGAATTAACAGGTTAGTGATTGTTAAAGATATAAATATGAGCAATCTGATCAGGTTTGACAAAAAATGATTTAACTGAAAAAAGAGGAAACGAACAGGTAAAACTTTTTTTGATGGTTCACTTTTCATTTTGTCATTTTCTTGTCGAAATAAAACTGTACTGATTTCTTAGAAGATCACAAACTTTGGGGTGACTGGTGGCCACTGTAACGCGTAGCTGCACCTCAAATACGTTCAGTTGACATAGATAGGTAATAACAAGAAATTAGTGTGGGTTTTGAGATATTTATYAGAATGATTTAATAGCTTTACCAGTATAGAAAAGACAATCCAAAAATCTCGATGGAAGAGTTCTGTTCTGTGGCACTTAGAACAGCTGAGAGTGAAACATACCTGAGAAACCAGTGAGTGATGAATCGGAGCTGAAAAGGTGATTCCTTGAGGCAACAAGCCATGGTTTTCAAAGTCCCTCGCTCCAGGCAAAGACATAAATCCAGGTCCTGCACCGACAGTGTAAAACCCCCTCGGTTTTCCTGTCATCTGTCCTGACTGAAATAACAAAGGTGCCCCAGCCCTGATTAAATGTTGGGGATGAACTCCAGAGAAATCCAAAGTCAGACAGTGATTCTCACTGAGGGATGATGAGTGCAACGCCACAGGCAGGGTTTCTGCAGAGTTCAGCTCCATGGGGTAGCTGTCATCCAATGTTCGTTGCATTGTTCTCTCTTTTTRTCCATCCTGATTGTTGGTCCTCTCACTAGGGTCAGACTTGTTTTGTAATATGTCCTTGTTCCTCTGACTCATGGTGAAAGTATGAGAAGACCTGAAACGGCTGGCTTCAAAAGTGTTTTCTTCTTGTGGATCAGCATCTGAATCACTTCCGATACTGTTTTCCTCTGTTAGAAAAAAAAGTTCTTAAAATGTTATAAAAATATAGTACTTTTTCTGGTTTGTTGGTATTATGAGGGTTTCCACAAGTTATTTCAAGTTATTTGTTTACTTTCAGATTCAACATATCTGGAAAGCTAAGTTTGATATCAGGATTACCTGTTTTGCATTTGATCTATACTTTGTAAGAAATGAAGCAAAATTGACATCACTTTTTATATTTCTAAGCTACAATAAGTTTTGTTGTGCAAATTGCAGGTTGCTAACTTTTAAACCTAACAGGAATTATTGGAAATGAACGTGTCAGTAAAATCTAAATATCAAAGTTTGTCTGTGGCTGGAGTTTTGGTCTAAGTTGAACAAACAATGGACCTCATGCAAGAACATGTTCGTATTCTTATCCTAAATTTCTCTTACGTTTGTTCGTATGAAGGGTTCGTACAAACATGTCACGTTAGATTCAACAAACTCTTCTATCTTCAGGAAAAGTGTCTAAATGAGCTGCGTAAACGGATAAARGCGTATCAGGTGCTCACGAGGAGAGGTGATTAGCATAATCTACCACCCCAAAAACACCATYTAAGGATAGACGTTTCCTGGCACACGTACCAGGAAGTGTCCATTCATAAATTACATTGCAAAGTGAAAAAGAAGAACTTTACGCATTCAGAGTTTGAAGTCCTGCTCTCAGAGATCCAGAAAAAAAATGCAATTTTTAGCAGCGTCAGACCTGCTAAAGCCAAGGAATTAAATGATGACTGCTGTTTATGTCGTGTTTCCTGTTAGTTGTACAGTCACAGGAATAACAATCTAAATCATATTCATCTCTCTCTAGTCCTGCTCTGGTTTTTCTTTGTTCATATATTTTAAATGTAAGTGTAATCAACTGTGTTACATAGTTTTCATTTATTCAGAGGACGAGCGGTCATGTATCTGAAAAAAATCTTACAATATGAGAAAATTGGTGAATGCCACAAATTCTCCTAAATCATTCGTACGCACAACTCAAGAACAAATCTGTTTGTAAGAACCATTCTTGATTGAGGCCCGACATTCTTGAAAAATAATTGGGCCTCATGTACTGTATGTAGGAGCAAAACTGATAACATGCAGCCAACTCTTAACTAACCTACCGTGACATGTGGGAGTGGACACCACAGGAGAATAAAAAGGCTCGCTGGTACTGGGTTGTTCACAAGACTCATCAGAATCACCACAGTCCTGATCTGCTTCACTATGGCTCTCGTGCAGCAAAGAATCACCAAGCTGTTTATTCCTATAGATCATAAACTTCATTTTAACAAACATGCAGGAACTGCGTGCAGGRTAGTTAAGGTCAGAAAGTTTCATAAGTACCTCTTTTCTCGTCTCCCYTTTCCAGTGTCTCTYAATCCTTTGGCAAAGGGGTTGTTGTCAATTTTTAGCTGTGTTATCTCGAGGAAGGAGGAGGAAAATTATGCAAGGGAACTCTTTGAACAGTGATGCTGTTCTGAGGAGGAGAATCTGTTTTACCTTTTCATTCTGATAGGCAGTGACAGCAATGAACTCGGTTTCGGGAAAAACGTAAGTCCTGAAGGTGCTGTAGGGAAGCTTCATTATGTCGTTGGCTTTCACCACATGAAACCTGGGTTGATACTTGTGCATGGAGTTCAAAATAGTCTGCAAAGTTCACAACAACAATATATTTTATGGGCAGAGCTAGACATTTTTGCTTGGGATTTTTGCTTGACCACGATGGTGGCCAAGGTGTTTTTTTAGGGGGGCACATACAAATAAATACAACTACTTTGCATTTGAAAATACAAGATGGCCTCTGGTCTTTTACAAGTGGCCAATGAGATACCATGGGTGACAAGTGCCACCCTGGCCACCCCACTGGCTCAGTCCCTGCTCATTCATTAGCAACCAAAATATGAACAAAAAGTTTTTCCAGCTTTGTCATTAAAATTATGAACACAAACACCAAGAGCTACTTACAAATCCATGTTTATCTGATATATTATTGGTGAGTTTGAGTTTATGGAAGGCGACAGGCTTGCTCATCCACTGCTCTCCTTTGGACGGGCTGTCGGGGTGGATGTACATGCGCTTTGGCATCTCTGGGTCCGCTTTTCCGGCCACCGTCCAGCGGGAGTTGTGGAACTTGTAGCGGCAGTCATCAACAGCGACAATGTCCATCAGCAGGATGTATTTAGCCGTTTCATTCAGGCCCTCCACAAGCACTTTGAAAGGCGGGAACATCCTCCTGTAGCAGACAAGTGGATGATTTAAAAAATAGGGAAGTGAAATGGCGTTTTCCCCACAAACATAAAAAAAATGTTTACATAAATATAAGGTGCCAAAAGGGGTTATTTATCAGTTTGATCGGAAATATGTTAATATATACAAGTAAAGAGGAAATGTCTCTTACCTGCCTGATTTCGTGATAACCATCTCAGTACCCATTTTGTGAAACTCYCTCCACAAGTCCTTTGACTCCAGAGTAACTTTCGGCTCGTCATCCTGCTGTTCTTCAGACTGCAGGCTCTTCAAAAACCCGGGACGCACCGGCTGGGCACGGAGTTCCAGAGCCGCGCGCAGCCGCGCGTCACAGGCGAGCGTCTCCGACAGAGGCGCAGAGCTCGAGGCGGGCCCCGGGAGAGGCAAGGCTGGGTGAAAAGAAGGCTGAGCGCTGAAKTGGAAGGCTGGCAAGGGGAATGCGTCTGTTCTGCGAGCCTGGAAAAAATGGTAAGCCATGAGACCCGCTGCGGTGACCCCGGATCTCTCATCGGAGCTTTGGAACAAACGATGGAGTCTCAGTTAGAACGCTTCCTTTAAGAGCAACCKGATTCTTTGTTTGGTGAGAGTTTAGCCAAGAAGACAGAAGTTTCCTCATTTCTGAAGGCGGGGGCGCGCACAGGTCGGACCATCACAAAGAGAGAGCGGTGCGCCATGGCTCCGTGCGTAAAAGTTGCTTAAAGAGAACTGTGCTCACAACACGCACACGAGACAAAACGCATCTACAGAACGTCACAGTATGTAGCAGATAATGAGAAGGGGGCGTGGTTTCAGCTCTTAAAAAATGAGCAATTTGAGTGCGCCTTTTCAATGTGTGCGTTCATGTGTCTGTTACCAAAACATCTGATGAACTAGACAAAATTTAAAGAAACGTTTGGGAAACAATCATTAGATGGACACATCAAGAATCTTTTGAAGTCAACCCAAAATTACTGCCACAGACAACTGGCTTTAGGAAAACCATAAATGAGTGTAATTTTGCACATATTGGAATATAATTTGTTGTGGTAGTAGCTTAGACTCATWCCCAACACACTTTCTGAAAACTAACAGGTTCCTTTGCACGATATCCTAAATAAATTTAAATAACTCTTTGGAGTCCACTTAGTCTGTTGGATTTAAATCAAACTGTCAGAAAGATTTTATTTGACAAATTAATAACTTTTTGAGTCAACTCAAGATGGCCACCACAGCCATTTGCCAAATAAACTCTGTATGGTCATAATATAGTCAATTTTACATTTATTGAGCTGAAATTTGCCTTGYCATGCTTTAATCTCATAAGATTAAGGTTTTGGCAAGGTTTGACTGAAAGTACAACTCTGTCTTTTTAACCTAAACATGGTTCATTAGTAATGTTTTTAGTCCGTTAATAAATTTAAGGAATAGATTTTTTCTATTTTTTGCAATATGTTAAATAAGATAAAGACCCTGAACTTTCTAAATAATTTCATAATCTGACAGTTTGCATGGTTTCGCAGTAACTGCGCCCATTTTTGATTTTTATCTTTTGTCAGAATTCAAGTTAACTAAAAAAGGCAGATTCATCGCCTCTGCAGAACCACAAGCATGTCTGCCCATTTAAAATGTGTTTTATAATGTTGAAAAAGAAACATTTTCTTTAAAAAATGTACAGTGAACATCACAGTGTTTTTGTTAAAACTTAGTAACTTATTATGTTTGCTTTATAAAAACTTTGTGAGCAGCTTTCTGCTGTTTTTGCATGTTGATGTCAGTTGTACAGTCAGCACATTTTTTTCATGTCTGCAGATAAAAAAGATTTTTCTACTCTTTGCAATGCCGAATGTGAAATACAATTCATGTTTCAAAGTTGTTTAAATCAGGAAACGTTTTACACAGGAAATGCAATATTGGTACACGCAACTTGCAAGGAGATAAGAGAGCAAAAAGAAGAAAAAATAGAATTCTGCAAACCACAAAAATTTTTTTAGACCACTTTGTTAAAATTTTAAATGCTTAAGTACAGAACAAACAAACAAAAACACAAAAAAAAACCACAAAAAACAACAAAGAGGAAGTTGGTTTTGTTATTTTCTCAGTCACCAAAGAACAAGAGATTATTTAATGTAACCAAAATTTCTGCTAAATTAATCTGAGCGATGGTGCATTTTTTGTCCCTTTGATCAGTCTACATCAGGGACTAAGTCAGAAGAATGAGAGGCCTCTGAAAGCTCCTGGGAAGTCATCTGTAGGATAGGACACATTAATAAAGGTGTGAGAGTTGGAGTGAACCATTCATCTTCAAGTCTATGATATCATAATTTGAACAGAAATGACACCTGTGGTAACCAGAACAGAAAGAGCCTGYATATATACTCTTATATTGCTTGTTAAATTAACTTTTTTTTCCAATACGTTTTGAAGACGTCAACTGGGCTGGTGTTTACTACAGTAAGTGCTTTATATTTTTAAACTGATATATTCTTTCCTTTTTGTCTTTGTCATAGATTTTCATTAAATACCCGTGCCAAAAGAAGCAGTACTATCACCATCGTAACCATTGTCATTTCATGCACAGTTAATATCTTCTTGTCATATGGTTTTGTAAAATTTGTTTTGCACATGCAAACATGGGCATCCATATATGTTCATTGTAAACAAAATAATACTTTGGTATGCAAAAGTGTTACCTTTCTATTATGGTATCACTTGTTAAATTGTTCTCATACTGATGTTTCAATTACAAACATTGAAACAATAATCCACTAAAATCCAATGCAAAATCACATGCAGAGTTGACACATTTGTTCATCTTGGTTCGTGTTTTCCCTTGTACTTGTCGTTTTTTTACAACAAAAAACATAGTTGCATGATTAAAAATTGTAATATGTTTACACAAATTACAATGGAAAGACCTCGCAGCACCATGACAGCTCCACTTGTTTACAGCAGGAGCACAGAAATGCTCAGGGTTTCTAAAATGACCCATTCAGTGGCTGCTTTCTGTGAGTTCTGAGSTTCAGCGCCGCTCTGATAAAGTAAAAGTTGTCAGATCTACTGAAGCATAGTATTATCAGCTCTGAGGTCATCGATGTTCTTGACCTTTGTGCTCACACAGATATGTTTTTCTTTCAAACATGTCACTCCAGAGCTAGACAACGTTCAATGGTACAAAAACAGTGTAAATGTTTTCAGGACATTACTTAAAAAGTGTGTGAAGTTAGTGCGTTCTGTCAGCTTCATCGCATTAGGCTGGCTGTTCAATAATTCACTTGTTTCTTGACAAGCTTGCTCATCCAGGGGATTTTCGGGGATCCAAGAGTGTCAAAAATCCCATTAGAGGCAGCCAGCAAACAACATCTTTCACTTCTTTTTCACCTTCTGATATTAGAATGATGATTCTAAGTGACTTCTATATGTAGTGAAAACCATGGGGATTTTTTTAAGAACTAAATAAGTCCATGCCTTGAGGCATCTGACTGTTTCCGGGGACCTGAGAGGACAAGAAGTCTCCAAAATACTCAATATTACATGACACTCAGTGTTTCTGCCCTGTGCCTTAGTTGCTTTTTCTGAACACCTTCAACAAAAATGTCATGGCATTTGAAAATATACACTGTAAAAATGGATTTTAAACAGTAGAAAATATTACTCAAGTTTAATTTGGCATAGAATATTAGAGGGAAAAATACCTACCTACTTAAATGTGCAAATGCCCTTTTGTAGGTAGTTATCAATTTAATGTTTGTAAAAATAAACAAAACATACTTTGCATATTGTATTTTATGACTGAAGTCAGATTAGCTGTTTATTCAAACTAGTTATAATTTCTTTAATGTGGCTGATTACCCTTAAACTTGATTTGTATTTAATTCAAATTATGTCATTTAAATTATGGAATAAATTAGAATATATTTAATTAAGAATTTTTATTACAAAAACGTGAAAATTCAAATAACAATGCAAATAAAAACAAAAAAGTATAATAATATATAATATATTTAGGAATTTAAGTGTCAATAATTAGAAAAAAATGATCTAATTCAACAAAGTTAAAACATAAAACATAGAAAAATAAAATGTAACTTCCCATTAGTTTGAGAAATTTAAAAATGTTTAAAACTAACCTTATAGTGTATAGTTGTTTTTTTAAATTTCTGTAATTTAAACTTAAAACAATATTCACATAATTAACTTAAAAAATTCTGCAACAGTTATGCATATTTTACTGGTAAACTTAATTATTTTTAAAAGTTATTTTTTACAGTGTGTTTAGTAATACAAATAGCCGTATGTACATTTAAATCCATCCGTCCACAATTAGTAGGTAAAATTGTAATGGATGTAAATATGTTGCCTTATCAAATAGAGTGCATGGATGATCAGGGCTACATGTCGTACAGTCTTTTCTCTGAAACTACTGTGAAATTATCATTACTATCATTTATTTATTTATTTATTTATTTGTAGCTGGAATTATTGAAATTTCCAACATAAAGCACTTAAACCTTACCCAAGAATATCTGAGATTAGGGCCATAGTGATGAAGATGAGGCTGTGACAATAAAACCTGGGCCAAAACTTTTATTTACCGAGCCCACATTATTTCAGATCAGATATAACAAGATCGTTTGGTTAAAATAAGGTGTTTTTGTACAGTGCCTGAGCTTCTGCTCTTTTATAYGATGAAGAGCTCAATACCAACCATGAGGCTTGTTTGAGGACATGCAGTGAGTAAATGGCTGTTAATCCTTGACCTTAAACTACTGAACTGCTTCTCAAAGAAAAAAAAAACCTCAATGTTTTGCAACAGACATAGTAACTTGTGTTTTGACAGGCCCAATTATTGTCCTGTTATGACCCTTCTTACGTTTGCTCTAGATTTCCAGGTACATCTGTGCTCTGGAGATTAACCATAAATGACCTGACACCCTTGATGGGATTATTGTCAGTTTAAAATTAAACAACTYTTTCTTTTTAGTTGGCCTTCGATGACGCAGGGCGTTGTAAATTTCACTGACACACCAAACTTTGTTTTAAAAATAAAACTCATTCAGGAAGTAGTTCAGTAAAAACTTAAAGCCCTTTTTTTATAATTTTATCATATTTTTTATTTATTTTTTTGTTAAGCTTTCCTCTCTCTTGGACCAGATCTGATGTCCTCAAAGTCGACCCCCAACTTCCAAACTGGTTCAGGTCCATTTTGAACATTTGCACCAAGGTGTTACACTGCTGATAATTCTTCTACTGTAATTCTGGAATAAACTGAGTGATGATGCAACCTTTAGGGCCTCTATTATACCCAGTAGGGGTGCAACAATTGCAGTTTTCTGGCCGATCACTGATCTTTAAAAGTCTGACTTGCTGATTCCAATTTTTATCCAATTTTTTTAAACAACTGACACTGTCAGGTGTTTAAAGGTCACAATACATCTTTAATGTTACAATCTTATTTTGTTGAAAAACCCTGAACAGTACCCTTGAAACAATACAAACTTTTTTTGTGTTAGACATTAGTGCTCACAGCAGAGCAAAAGGGGACAATGTCTGATTTTCAGACCTTTGTGGGTGTAGCTGAGAAGCCAGTCTTTTCCATTGATCTTATAAGTATCGTCCGATCTCTGACCTCATCGGTGCTGATAAATCATCTGGTGGATTAATCTGTGCACCACTGATCCTCCTATTGATCTGATGCCAGTTTTGTTGACCCTGTGTCAACTTTTTT